GGTGACCACTGCACCCTCTTTCCAACACATCCTCTCCCTGCAGTGGGGACAGGGAGTCAGAGGGCCCTGGACACAGCAACACACAGCGCCTAGTGTGTGTGGGCAGCCAGCGCTGGGAAGCCTGGGGGCTCTGTGCCACTATCACAGGGTAGACATGCCTGTGGTGTGTCAGAGCACAGAAGCATCAGGCAGCAAAGCTTTATGAGAGAAAACCTTAAGTCCTGCCTGTTAATTTCATTTTTCGGCAAATTTGGAGACTGCCTCTGTCACCGATTTTATCAGCAGAATTTGTCCATTTGGCCATTTCTCTCTGCACTCCCCAGCCAGCCTGACCACCCAACCCTTCCTCAGTACCCCAGGGCCCCCGCTGGTAGCCAGGGAGCTGCCCAGCAGCCAGGGCAGGGCCATTTTTCAGCCCACAGAAACACACGATCCTGGGGCTCCATTGGCTTTCTGGGTGGGGACGGTGAGGTGGGGGCTGGGAGGGGTCGCTGTGGAAGAAACATGCTGTTGAAGAGGGTTATTCTGAAGTTCACTAAGAAGCAGACTTTTGGCCTTCCCTTCACATGGCGGGCCAGTCAGCCTGTCTGGAGAGAGGGATTCTAACTTGCCCACCTTTCCTTTGCAGTCTCCTCTCCACCCTATCCCGGCCTCTCCCACAAGCCCGCAGTCTGGCCTGGACGGCAGCAACTCCACACTGTCCGGCAGTGCCAGCAGCGGCGTGTCCTCCTTGAGTGAGAGTAACTTTGGGCACTCCTCAGAGGCCCCACCTCGCACCGATACCATGGACTCCACGCCGAGCCAGGCATGGAATGCCGATGAAGATCTTGAGCCACCCTACCTCCCCGTCCACTACAGCCTCTCTGAGTCTGCCGTTCTGGACTCCATCAAGGCCCAGCCATGCCGAAGCCACTCAGCCCCAGGGTGTGTCATCCCTCAGGACCCCATGGACCCACCTGCGCTGCCGCCCAAGCCCTACCACCCCCGCCTACCGGCCCTGGAGCACGATGAGGGCATACTGCTGCGCGAAGAGGCTGAGAGGCCTCGGGGCCTGCACCGCAAGGCCTCACTGCCTCCTGGGAGCATCAAGGAGGAGCAGGCGCGCATTGCCTGGGAGCACGGCCGAGGGGAACAGTGAGGGGCAGGGAGGTGGCTGAGATGCCGCCCTCAGTGAGCAGCTTGCCCAACCACTCCAGGTCTGAAAAGCAAGTCCACTGCTGCCCCTTCACCCCAGGGAGCCAGAGAGGCCTGGCACTCAGGAGAGAACCACCCGTCTCCGTTCTACTGCCGTGAACTCGTGTGTTGCCATGTCCAGAGGCCGCAGCAGCATGAAGGGTTGTGGCTTCTCTTTTTATTTCATTTTCTACATTTCCATTTCTACGGGTTTTCCTTTCTTTCCTTTGTGCAGTAGATGCTTTCCTCCTCCTGCAGTTTCAGACCACATGGAGTTATATGGAGATATTGCAGACAGAATCTCTCTGCAGCATTGCAGGGCCCGGAGCAGGAGCCCAGGCCCTCCCTGCAGGGTAGAGATGCACATGAGAATGGAAATTGCACTAGGACCTCTTTCTTTGCTGTGTGGACAGGAAAGCTCATGGCTGCATTCAGGGATTGCTGGGACTCCAAGGACTATATGTCACAAGTGGATGAGGGGCTACAAGCTGTTTTGCACAAATGCCTGCCCACTTGCCCACTCTTCTGTCTAGGAGTGTGCAGCCAAGGGGCTGGCTGGCCAACCTGCCAGCCCAGGTGTGTGACCTGGCTCAACCACACGCCCAGGGCACACTTCCAGGCTTCCATGGGTCAACCCTGTCTCCTCCTCCACCTTGGATTTTTCTCTCCATCACTTTTATTTTTGACCATTTGCTCCCTCCCACTCTCAGCACACCTCACGTCCCGCAGGAGCCCCCATGGTGAATGGATCTGCAAGGATAGCTTCCACCCTCTGGGGCCTCAGAGGGAAGTGTGGAGGACAGAGGGGCTCCCCCAGCCATCTTTCTCCTGGGGGAAGCTGGGCCCCTCCCCAGGGCCCAAGAAGCCACCTATTGAGGGACAAACTGGTATAGGAGGGAAGCTGGGGTGTTAAGAAGGCCAGAAATCCTCTGAGCTTTCAGAAGTGGTCAGAATGCCTGTCACCCAGCTCCACAATCAGGGATTTTCAGCACTACCTCTGAGGCTTCCTGGCCCGAGGACATGTGGTCAGATTCGGCAAGCTCCTGGATGAGGGTGGGAGTGAGCTGCTCCTTTTGGAAGCAGAGGGCCATGCAGGTAGGATTGTCATCACCCAAGTTGCCAAGTGTAGCGCCCCGCTCCAGGCCTGTGGGGACCACCACTCAGGGTTTGGGCGGGCAGGAGGGCAGTGTCTCCAGCCTCCTCAGTCTGCTGGGCAGAGTGCAGTGGTATCTTTATAGGAAACTCTTTCAGGTCAGGGCACTGATTTTCCTCTGGGTTTATCATTTGGAGGGATAGGGGTTAGGAGGGTGTAGTAGTATTTTACCAGGGTGCTTCCAGGTTACTTTTAAAAAGTCTACAAAATATTTTTTTCTTTCATTTGCTTGAGTACACATTAGGGTGAGCCAGGGTCTTGGATGGTTACAAGATTGGCTTCTTGTTGAGCAGGCATGTTGCCCCCCCAGTTCCTCTTCTGCTGGCCTGTCTGACTATAGCTAGTCCCTGGGCCCTCACCCCTTCCCCGCAACCCCTCCTTCCAAACAGAAAAAGCCACGGTCAGGGTGTTTTTCTCTTATAAACAAACACCAGCTTGTTCAACAAGAATGTCAGCAAGTAACCCTGGGAAAGATGGAGGGCCACACTCCCTTCAGGGTGCTGAGGGGTGTTTATCGCCAGTGTGGGTCCTTACTGATACCGTAAGGATTACTCCAGGCAGAGCGGGGCAGGTTGTTGTTGAGAGTATGGATCAATCATGGCAGCCCCGAACCTGGAGGCAGGCCTGCTTCTGAGCCTGGGTTCACCTGCAAGCTTCAGTCCCTGGACTATCTGGTGTTCACAAGTGTTAGAGGCCTAGAGGCTAGTTTTGGATCTGATCCTTGGGTAAGAGGGCATGTTTACATTTGAAGGCACCTTGGAAACCCTGGTGGTGTAGGGGTTAAGAGGCAGTTCAGATCCACCGAGTGCTCCTTGGAAATCTTATGGAGCAGTTCTGCTCTGTCCTATAGGGTTGCTATGAGTCAGAATCGACTCGATGGCAATGGGTTTCTGAACCTGTCGCTGGACAAGGCAGCCATCCCCTTCTCCGCTTGGTGGTGCGGTGGAGGGCGGGGGCGAGGGGAGTAAGTGAGGGGAGTGTGATTTTGTCCTTGCTTTTGGAAGGTGAGACAGGTTTGTGCTTTCCCTCTTAATTTTCCCTAACCAGATGAAAAGGACACATTCCAAATCCCTTTTGTTGGCGAATCAGGCAGTCGGGGGTAAGTGGGAGGCCAGAGATGAGAATTCTTAGAAAAGATTGTGAAATACTTTCATTCTTTCAAGCTTACTTGTAAATACCTATTTGAATGCTGTGTATTTGTACAGGAATTTGAGCAAAAAATGTATAGAGTGTGATGACCAATTGGTATTCAGCCCTATAAATGTGTTTTTAACCTCTGGCATTCTGTGCTTATTTAAAACAAGAAAACTTCTAACCATTTCTTTTGTGTATTCATGTTTAAAGAAAAGTGATTTTAAAATGATCTTACCTGTACCAGAAAGCAAAGTTTAAAGAAAAAAATTTGTACCAGTGTCCCAAGAGGTATTTTACTGTATATATTGTGGTAGCATGTTCTAAATCCAACAAGTAATGTGAGTTTTAGATGTAAATATCTGCCACTGGTTTTTCCCCACTCCCTTGACTGCTGTGATGTGAATTAAAGACGAATACCTAATACTGATCCACTGAATTCACTGAATGGGAGCGGCGCAGGTGCCCCTCTCCAGCCCTTGTAACTGGGCTCCAAGCCCTTTCAGCACTATGCACATTTCCCTTCTGCATCGCGCGCAGAAATGACTCCTGCTGCCAGTGCCTTCAAGGACAGGTAGGCAAGCCTCGGATTTGAAAGGAGGGCGGCCAAAGAGGAAACACCGTCCAGCGCTTGCCCCTGGCTCTGGAGGCACTCTGGGCAGCGAGGAGCCCTGAGGACTCAGCTGGGAAGCAGGAGGCGGACCAGACATTTCTACCACGCTTCCGGGGCTTGTGGGGAAATAGGGAGCTCCTCCAAGAGTGGGAACAAAATTATAAGGTTCCCTAACCTCTCCAATCTGAGGCAGGCTGATTCTCCAACTCCTAAAGCCTCGGCATGTAGCCCGGGGCCAGGCGCTTCCCCCGCAGGTCTAGGATGGCAACCCGCAGGTTAGCGGGCCTGGAGCCCTTTCTAGGAGACCTTCCAGCAGGAGAACGGCTCCTGTCGGCCATGCAAGGAGGGCCCAGGTCACCCGAGGGTAAAACAAGTGGGCAAGTTCGGAAATGGCCCAGGTGCCTGAGCCTCAGCAGCCGCTACTCAAAGGCTGAGTCCCCCGCCCACGTGCTTGTTTTCAAAAAAGGAATGAAACCTTCTGAGCCTTCCGTGATGCCGGCCGCCCTCTCTGCCCGCCCTGTTGGGTCTCGACTGACCCCAGGACCCCCGACCTGCGCTGCGAGTCGGGGCCTTGGGCGGGGAGATCCGCGAAGTTTTTAGGACGAGGTTAGACCCCAGGGTAGGGCCCGATTCAGCTCGCACCGGGCAGCACCGAATTCCACTTCTGCCCGGAACGCCCGGCTTCCGGCAAGACAGCAGCCCCCATCCACAATGGCGGCCCACCCCACTTCCGCCGCCTCCACGGCCACTTCCTGCGGAAGACCCTGGTTCAATCAGCGGCGGACAACTGTCTCGGGCCTAGAGCCGGCGGCGCTGCCAGCCAATAGGGAAGGGCAGCGTGGAGCCGCCCGTCTGGGCTCCGAGGCTCGTAGGCCAATGGGAGCGCGGCGTGTGGGAGGGTGCGAGGGCCACCCGCCAATGGGGAGCCGCGGCGCGCGGCCGGGTCTTGGAGGCGGTGCAGCGCAGCGCAGCGGGTGCGGTTTAGTCGGGCGGCGGCGGTGGCAGTGGCGGCGACGGAGGAGGATGTGGGCCACGCACGGGCTGGCGGTGGCGCTGGCTCTGAGCGTGCTGCCGGGCAGCCGGGCGCTCCGGCCGGGAGACTGCGAAGGTGCGGCGGGGCCGGGTCCGCGCGGCGCGGCCAGCCTAGCGGCTGCCCCGACGCCAACAAAACCACAAAGTGGGCGGGAGCGGTCGGTCCCGGCGAGGTCCGCCCGAGGAGGGCCAGACACTTCCCAGGCCTACAAAACATCGGTCGAACGGCAAAAAGTTGGGACTAGATAGCGCTGGAAACTTGGCTTGAAATTCAGATAACGCTGGAGTTCTTGTCCCTACCATCACTGGTCAGATGCTCCCGGGAGCGGCCACTCCCGAGTCAGGGCCCCGTCAGTTGGGGTCAAGATGCTGCACCTCGGGGTTTGGTGTTGTATTTGGAAGTGGGATGCATTATGATCATTTTTCTTTTCGGTCTCCAGTCTGCTCATTTATGAGGTCATAGTGAGTGCAGTTTCAAGGACACGTGTTCAGTCTTGGCTTAAACTTGATGAAAGGAGCAGGGAGGAGGCGTTTGTGGGTCACCAGGATGGTGATCGTACCCTGCATGCCCCACGTGGACCAGGGAACCCCAGCAACTTTGAGTCGGACTCCCCACCTGAGAAAACTCGGTGATAGAAAAACGTACCTCTAGTGATTTATCTCCGTGTCTCCCATTAAAATTGTTGACAGAGTTCCTGGTGGTTGGGGGTGCACCTTGATGGTTGCTGAGCGTCTTCCTTCCCTTTCTTTTCCAGTTTGCGTTTCTTATCTGGGAAGATTTTACCAGGATCTCAAAGAGAAAGATGTCATATTCTCACCAGCCACTATTGAAAAAGAGCTTATCAATTTCTGCCGCGAAGCAAGAGGGAAAGAAAATCGGTTGGTGAGTAGCTGGTGACCCCCCCAAGTTGGTCCTGGCCCAGTGTTTAACCCTTGTCTTCACAGGCCTCTTGAGCAGGTACCACCCACATGTCTGCTAGGCCAGCTGTTCTGTCAGCAACTAAAATGGGACTGAAGTACTTACCCAAGTGTATTCTGCCATTGAGCTATCTCTTTTCCTGTTAGTATTTACTAAGCATCCACTATGTGCTGGCCACAGGGAATTTTGGGAGAGAGATGACAGGCAGACAAACAGTGGATGGGATGGGTGTCATAAAGACAGTGGACCTGGATGGTACCGTGGAGGGGGCAGTGCTGATTTAAACAGAGTGGTCGAGAAGTAGCTCTCTGAGGAAGGCTCATCATTGAAGTTGGGGAAGAGCATCCTAGGCAGGGGGAGCAGTCAGTGTGAATGCCTAGAGGCCAGAATGGGCTTGCCATGTGTGAGGACAGAAGGAGAGGGTGTGAGTAGAGGGTAGGCCAGGCCCAAACCGAAAGCAAGGGCCCCTAGTGAAGTGGTGGCTTTTGTAGCTTTATTTATTTATTTATTTTTGGGTAGTGTGTGGTTTGTCTGTTTAAAAGTTTGAACCCTGGTGACTCTTAAGCTCATCTGCTGGCTGTCAGCTCTGGGACTGAGCAGGTGTAAGGAGCCTGGCATTTACACTGGCTGCATCTGAGTGCCACTGCAGGCAGGCACCAGGAAATGAGGCCCTGGCAGAGAAGGAAGATGTTCTGGAGGAGATGGCTCTCATGTGGCGTCTCCTGAAGGCCGTTGTCCTTTCTTGCTGCAGTGCTACTACATTGGGGCCACGGATGATGCAGCCACCAAGATCATAAACGAGGTGTCAAAGCCCCTAGCCCACCACATTCCTGTGGAGAAGATCTGTGAGAAGCTCAAGAAGAAGGACAGCCAGATCTGCGAGCTGAAGTATGGTGAGTGCCTCCTGGCCTTGTTTAACAAACACTGCACATTCTCTGCAGCCAGGTGTTGTGGAGTTACCTTGTAGTTGGGGGGGGCATGTCATAAACTAGTGGGTTACATAGTATGGTAAACAAGTAAACCAGCTGCCATTATTGAGTTGACCTGACTCATGGCGGCCTCATGCGTGTCAGAGGAGAACTGTACTCCGGGCAGTTTTTAGTGGCATGTTTTCCAGAAGTAGATCACCAGGCCTTTCTTGCAGTGCACCTCTAGGTAGACTCCAACCTTCAACCTTTCAGTTAGTAGCCGAGTGCATTAACCCCTTGCACCACCATAGATGGTGCTAGACGCTGGGGGAGGGAAGTGATCCGTTATCACAACGGGACCTCAGTGAGGAGGTGACATTTCAGCAAAGCTCTGAAGGAGGTGTGGGATTAGCCATGGGGCAAGCTAGTGGATCAGAGTGGGATGACAGACAAGTGAGCAGGTCTGAAAGGACTTGGGCTTCTAGTCTGAGTGAAATAGAGACCATTAGATATTTTTGAGCTTAGAAGGGACATGAGCTGAAGGCTCAAGTGTCCTTATCCACACAGGCATGGTAAGCCCAAGAGTAGGGGTCCCACAGCACCTCTTGCTCAGTTTCTCGTTGCATAGACCTAGGCAGGCATGTGTTTGAGTATGAGAGTCAGGGCCAGGGATAATTGTCCTCTTCTGTAAAGGCGCCAGCACATTTTATTATGACTTGAATGCCCAAGGGCCTGTGTTCAGCTGCTTGTGTCAGCGATGCCTGGTCTTCTGAGAGATCCTGGTAGAGGTCCATCTGGCTTGTGGACACAGTGGTCATGGAGAGTAGCTCCTGCCTCAAGGGCCTAACCAGACCAGTGCTGGGAAATGAGGCCGAGGAGAGCTACTTGCTCTGTCATAGCTTGGCACTGCCGTTCTGCAGCGTCCTGACCTCTTCTGCGACTGTGTGAGAGGCACTTGCTCCTCCTGTAAAGACTGTGGCCTCCATCCCTGTCCCTGGCAATACTGCGCATCTGGTGGATACTGCCAACATGAGGCCAGCCTTCCTGATGAAGGGGCCTGGGCCCCTTCTCTCGGGGCGCAGTGGGCACTGACACACCTGTGCGTGTGTCTGGAAATGTTTCTCCCTCTAGAAACCAGTAGGGCCACTTGTTTTAAGGGACAGGTTGGCCATGCAGGAGTGACCTATCCTGGGACTACTGGGGGGCGGTGGCCACTCTCACCCAGCCGGTCACTCTCCCTGCTCTCTTCTCCAGACAAGCAGATCGACCTGAGCACAGTGGACCTGAAGAAGCTCCGAGTTAAAGAGCTGAAAAAGATCCTGGACGACTGGGGGGAGACGTGCAAAGGCTGCGCAGAAAAGTCTGACTACATCCAGAAGATCAACGAACTAATGCCGAAATACGCCCCCAAGGCAGCCAGTTCACGGACTGATTTGTAGTCTGCCCGATCCCTGCTGCACTGGAGGGAAAAAAAGCAGTTCCTCTGTCTCTTCCCAAACAGCCTTTTTGTAATTTATTTTTTAATCGGGCTCCTGACAGTGTCAGGTGTGGGGCCTGGAGCTTTCTTGATTATGCTGGCTCAACAGCAGCCCGTCGGGGATTCACTTCATTCTGTTGCTGGTTTACTCTAGGACTTGAAAGTGTGTCTGGGATTTTTTTATTAAAGGAAAAAAATTTCTAGTTCTTGGAGAATTAAAATGAATACTGAAGTAGGGCTTCACTCCATAACAAGGACCCCACCAGCTTATGCTTTCCAGTTTGCAAAGAATCTTCCAATATATTCCCACTTGTCCCTCAACCACTAACCAGTGTTGGAGGTACCAAGGCAGGACATGGGCTGAGGCCAGCTGGCGTGTGTGGGGTCTTGCAGGACTGGAGGGTAGCAGGCCCCCAGAGAAATGGACCTGGGGAGGAGGCTGGGCTTGGGCTTGGCACCCTGCCTCCTGGTGTCTCACCCAATGGGGGCTGGAGGCTGCCCTGCTCTTGCTGTGGGAGGGCAAGTGAGCGTGGTGTATGTAGGGGGTTTGCACTGGGTTCAGTATGAGCAGGCCTGAGCGTACTTGGAGTTTGGCTTTCTCTGATGGTGACTTTGAACACCGTGTATCCAGTACTGACAACATTTCTGAAGGTGCTCGGGCTGGCCACCGACTTGCTCCTCTGGGTCCGTGGTCTAGTGCCAGTTCCAAGCCTGTGATGCCTAATTGGGGTTTTGCAAGACCGGCAGGAGCTGACTTGTACAAAGAGGCAATGGGCGGCTGTCTGTTGCCTTTGTTTACCCAAGATAAATCTTCAACAGTTGGGATCCTGAGGGCTTGGCCTCGTGTTGTCCTCCAGAGTATGGTTTTTAAGCTGCTCCCTGTGTGGGGCTAGCGCCTAGGCAACCTGGTCGCCAGCATGAGTTTTGGCTTAGTGGAGGCACCTCTGCTCCTGTAGAGAATGCCTGAAAGACTAAGGAGCAGTGCTTTCCAAGAAATTGGGTCTTTGGTGCCTAAGTTCAGTTTGCCTGCTGTGGAGCCCACTGCTGCTTGGCAGCAGACCTCCCATGTTTTGTGCGTCTGCTTGTGAGAGAAGGCAGGCAGGTCAAGCCACTTCTCAGGGCCAAGACCTCCCTGTTTCAGGGAGTTACATGGGCTGTTGAGGTCTGACCAGCACAGTTAAGTGTCCTCAGCCCCCTAGAGGTGCTGGGAAAGTGTGGCTGTAGCTGATGGTCTTGGGAGGTGCACTTGGCTTAGGCCACCACCCCAGATCTGTACCTGTGGCCTCCATGTCCTCCAGGCCACAGTGAATACAGGGACAGAGAAAGCTGAGCCTCACAGGCCCCAAGGATATCTGTGGAGAACGCTGATGTCACTTGCTGGAAGCAGATTTTAAAAGGTTATGCACCATTAAAGTCCCCCCCCCCGCCCCCTCCCCATTAGCCACTCCAGAGGCTGCTTTCTGGTTGGGGAGGAGGCAAGGGTTGAAGTGCACGTTTCCTCACACCACGGTTTCTGTGGCTGAGGCTGGGTCAGGTTCTGCACTGGCTCCAGCAACAATCCCTGGAGAATGAAAGCTTTCCCAGTGGGCTTGGGCACCAGGGCATCTCTCAGGAGAAAAGACTCTGCCCTAGGAGGTGGGCAAGAGGGCACTGGCCAGGTGAAGTCAGGACAGCAGGCTCTGCAAAGTGCTGCAACTACCTCCAGGTTTGGCGAGGCTCCTCTTCGCTTTAGGCTTAGGGCGGCCTTGCCCCTCTAGCTCCTTGTCTGCCAGGAGGCCCAAAGCAAAGGGTGAGGCCTGGTGAGGCCCAGTGACGCCAAAGAGCTATTCCGGATCAGTAAAACGCAGGTTTGTGGGTCTCTGGTTTCTGTGCCTGAACCCAGACAGGCCTTTCCTACTGCAGCCACAGCCCTGGCCCGCATGGCCTTTCCTGAAGGCGCTGCAGGTGAACCTGAACGCGCAGGATGCAGGCTGTGGTCTCTGTAGGGGCCTGGGGAGGGGCGTGCGTCAGTCCTCGGGCTCTCAACCCTCGACACGTGGGCGGGCAGGAGTCGCCATGCCGAGGATTGGGGCATCCTCAAGTCTAGTCCCAGAATTTGGGAACACCACGTAAAGAGGCTGCTGGGTCAAGGCCCGGGAATCCAGAGCCCACAGAAGCTGCCACTCCTGCTCCAATCAGCGCTGGCGACAGGAGACAGCCGGACCCAAAGAGACAAGTGAGGCCAACGTCCGGCCCGACTGGCTGGGACCGAAGACGGCGTGAGCCAGCCCGGCTATCCCCACGGCTCCGATCGCTCCACGTAGCCCAGATTCGGCCCCGCGGGCCGCGTGGTGGCGCCAAAGCGCACTGCTGGACCCCTCTTACCCACTGGCCTCGGGGTCACGTGGTACAGGCGGTGCAGCCCGATGACGCATGCCCGGCGCGGTTTCCTCCCCGCCTGCCACGAGGTCACGTGATATGGCCGGCGCGGACTGATAACGCAACGTCCAGGCCGTCGGCGCCTCTCCCGCCCCGCCCCGCCCCGCCGCCGCGGCGAGTCCTTTTGTCCAAGATGGCGGCGCCGGGGGCGCTGCCTCCTCAGCCGCCGCCACCGCCGCTGTGAAGGGCC